AAATAAATAAATAAATAAATAAAGTTCAATTTAGAAATCCATATAGTCCAGCTGAAAGATTTACTATCAACATTGAATATATTCCACCAACAATTAGCACATACCACACACATATCCTGTATACCACTCACCACTGGAGGAGTATACCAGATACCTTGCAGTTGTGGCCAGGCATATATTGGAACCACAAAACGAAGCATCCACACCAGACTCAAAGAACATGAGAGACAGTACAGACTAAAACAACTGGAAAAATCAGCAGTAGCTAAACATATCCTAAAACAAGCTGGACATGAAATTCTATTTCAAAATACTGAAATACTGGACAGCACCAGCAATCATTATGTTAGACTGCACAGGGAAGCCATTGAAATCCACAAACACCAGCAGAGCTTCAACAAAAAAGTAGAAAGTTTAAAACTCAACAAAGCTTGGCTCCCAGCACTGAAAAATACAGCGTGCAAAAGGTCAACGAACTCTACCCAGCCACAAGGACCGGTGATCACTACACACAAAAGACCAGCTAACAACGCCCATCAATCACAGTGACAGATAATCTCTCCTCCTTATCACAACAATGCACCCACAACAAAAACACACTGATGACCATAATCACCCATCTCCTGAAAAGGACAAAAGCTGATCCCACAGCTATAAATACTCAACTCCCAAACAAACTGCAGCAGAGCACATTGTGCTGCTCCTGTCCTCTGAAGATGCCGGCCACAGAAACCGGTGAAACATTAGGAAGAACAACCTTCAGAACACGGCCAAAGAACCCGAAAAACCCACAACAACCCTTAAATCAATTTTAGTCCATGAAAGCTCAGATTAAAATAAAACTGTTGGTCTTCAAAGTGCTACAATATTTTGCCTTCATCTCTACCCCATCTTCTTTTCCCCCTTTTTCTTCTGTCAACATGTTGAGGCATACTAACACAACTACTTCTTCGGAATTTATTAAAATAAATCTTTTAGTCTTAGAAGTGCCACACTATCTTTATTTTTGTTTTTTAATGCATTTAGTTTTTCTTATTTCTGTCACAAGGTAAAAATGCAATTTTCAGAGCTGTGGTCAAGGGGGATCCCAGACCGGAGATACTGTGGCAACGGAGTACTGGGAAAATCGATGACCATGAGAGATATCGGGTCTCTTCTGTTCCTGGCACAAATGAATATACCCTGCAAGTAAGAGTTAACAATGAAATTCCTGTGAATATATTATCACCATTGAATAGATAAAAAGATGTTAGGGCCTTACTAATTTTGAAACTCAAAAAGGGGTCATTTTGTAAGGGCTTGTTTAATCTTACTAAATGCTCTAAGTTTGTTATGCATTAGAGTAATAATAGTTCAGGATATGACTATGGTTTCTGGAGAATATTGCAAGAAAGAAAGACTATGTAACATGCAAAGGCAGTGTAAACTGTAAAAAAATGACTGTGTTATAGAAGTATGTATAGAATAATTTACACGTACCATTTATAGTTTTAAAAGATTGACAGGAACAAAAAAGGGTATTAAAGCTGAAGTGGAAAGGATGGGACTTCCTCCACTCAATTTAGCAAAACATAAAACAAAACAAAATCATTTGAGAACTGATGGCCTATACCTGTGGCTGTAGGTTGAGCCCTCTTACACCTCTTCGATCTGACTGTCTTTCTGAGATTTTGTCTCTTTGTGACAGAGCAGAGTTAGGCAAGATGCAGCCCACAGGGGCTAAAATGAACCTAACTAGTAGTTTAATCCCAAATTTCAAAAAAATTGAAGAAAACTATGTTGTTCAAAAAAATATATCTCCTTGTGCTCTCTAGAGGTATTGGGGGAATTGTCCCATAACTTGAGGGCTTCCCCAAAGTCCTGTGGTCTCCACATTTTCTTCTTCTTCTTCTTCTTCTTCTTCTTCTTCTTCTTCTTCTTCTTCTTCTTCTTCTTCTTCTTCTTCTTCTTCTTCTTCTTCTTCTTCTTCTTCTCTTCTTCTTCTTCTTCTTCTTCTTCTTCCCTATTACAGGGTACTAGGGGGCTTTTTCAATTTAATCCTGTATTTTAAAGATTCTTTGGGGGGGATGGGTAAGGGTACCAAGAGTGGATACAGTCCTCGAAGGTGAAAATTGCCATCCCAGTGACATTGGCTGAAAGGAGCAGTTGTCTGGTCTGTGTTACCTCTCCGTGATCTCTAATAAGCAAGGTCCAATGAATGGAACTGGGATTGAGGACTCAAGCCTTTGGGGTTTCGGGATCAAGGGTCTCTGTTTATTTATCACGGTCTCAGTATTAAGCTTGGACTTAATGAGCTCAGTGCCCCAAACTTTTCACACAAGTAGAGAGAGAATGAGAGGCATATGGTGCCTGGCCAAGGATTGCTAATGAATTCTTTGTCCTTTTTTAATTTTTATTTTTAAAGATAAGCAACATTACTGCAAATGATGCTGATGTGTACCGTTTTACTGCTGTGAATGAGTATGGGGAAGCCACTTGCAGTGCAGGTCTTAAGATCATACAGGGTATGTCACTCAGTCTATTATGCTGCAATGAATTAATCAATAACTTGAGGGAACAGATTACATAAACTGAAATCCTAAGCATACCTGTAGGAAACAACAGTGAAATGTACTTCAAAGCAAACATACATAGAATTGTACTCATAATCACTTTCATACCTCTTTAAATCTGATTCTCTTAGCACAATGATTCCCAGCCTTGGGTCCCCAGATCTTCTTGGACTAAAATTCCCAGAAGCCTTCACCACTAGCTGTGCTGGCCAGGATTTCTGGGAGTTTTGGTCTATCTTAGCAGGACACCACTACTGCAGTATTTCAGTAGCAATGACTAATATTAAGGAGAGCGACTGTATCTTAACAACAGAGCCAGAACTCAGAAAAGCTAGGTTTTATACTACAAATGCCAGGATCCCTCAGCCATGTCTAATAACCATACTAGATGAGGCATTCTGAGACTTGTGTCCCAAAGTAGCATTTCTTACTGCTACAAAGAGTACATATTTTTCTATCTAGAAGGAAGTTCCTAATTCAGCCCCTGGCATTTTCAATTCAAGGGATCAAATAGCAGGTTATTTGAATGATTTCTTCTTGAATAAGATTGCAGAGAGGTCTTGCTACTCAGAGCAGAGACAGAGCAAATAGGCAAAAAATATAACTTTATTTTTTAAAAATGGCTGCTTACATTCCTATGCATGAAAGTTGCCACTTAAAATCCATATTAGTTTGCAAACAAAGGTTTTGTAAGGAAAGTGGTAATTTCCCACTCTCAGCTGCTAATATGTTTTAAACTATGTAGTGGTAATTTCCCACTCTCAGCTGCTAATGTTATGTTTTAAACTACGCATCTTTTATGGAGAACATGCAGTACATGTGGAGGGACAGGTATAGCTACGGCTGCGTATACATGCTGTATGTATGTTCTTCATTGGCCCAATAAAAAGGGAAATGCATTTCTCTTACTGAAGTCAGCATAAATATAAGCTACACACGAAATCTCTTCAAAGTCAGTGGGGCTTGAGTATGCTTAACTTCAAAATTATACAACTGTCAGTGCTTAAAGAGAATATTCTTACAACTGTGTTACTAATTGAGAAATTCTCTTTCCCTTTTGTCTTCCCTTCCCCCCCCCCCCCTTTATAACTGATCAGTTGGTTTCAAGAAAAAACCAAAGGATATCGCTGTTGCACCACAGACAGGTATGTTTCCTGGCTTCGTGGTCAAACCAGAGCAATACCTACATTACTCCAGCTGGGGAGTACATCGACCAATTTAGAATTCTGATTAAGCTCTAAGTTATGGAAGGTGCATTTCCGCATGATGACTCTCTTTTTTTTTTTTAAATCTATTACAGACCTGAAGAAAGAAATAAAGCACTTCAGAAAAGCGTTAAAGAAAACGTGAGTGTTTTCAATACTTGGTCATTTTAAAGGTTTTTCTTCTGCATGCTGGCAGAGCATAAAATGTACGCATCCATTTACAATGAATATTATGCAGAAGAATATTTCATAGAAAAATGCAAAGAAGTTAAGTTGTCTTGTGTGTCATAGTAGTAGTAGTTTGCATCTATCAGAAAATGGCCATAAATAGTATGATTCCTCATGGCCAAGAGTTTGTTTTGCAGCCGCAAAGTATTTTTTTTACCTGAATTATTTTCTCTTTTGATTAATTGAGTCCATACTTAAGGAGGGGGGCATCTACTTTTACTGCTTGTTTAAACAGCCTCCAGAATGTAATAGATAAGGTTCTGCAATAAAAATTGATGTCCAGTTGCAGTTCTGCCAATAGTTGCAAGAATAAAGCCTTACTTGAAATACATCTAGTTTCGCTAAACAATAGATGTCTTGGGCAATTTAAAAATGACATGGTGGTGTCATTTAAAAACAACAACAATGGCCTTCTTTTTTGTCTGTTGTTTGGAAGTTTGGATGATATTTTAAAAAAGAGTTGAAATGAAAAGCACCTCTCCCCTGACGTCAAAAAAGAGTGCATAAAGAATGATATCTCCTACTATCATATACAATTTGGGATTCTCTTCTTGGGGTTGAGAATTTGAGATTCTCTTCTCAGCACACCCGCAGCTGCTCCAAAGAAGGAAATTGACATGGAACAGATCTGGCAGCTGCTGCTGGATGCAGACAGGAAAGATTATGAAAAGATCTGCTTGAAATATGGCATTGTTGACTTCCGCGGGATGCTCAGGAAACTTCAAGAGATGAAGGAGGAGCAGGAGACCAAGCAGGCTGAGGTAAGATTCTCTTTGATACAAGGGAAGTGAAGAATTCTCAGTAATGTTACAAACCCCATTTTGGTTTCTCAGGCACCTCAAGAGATTTTACCTTCAGAGTAAGATTGAGACACAGGCTGTCTTCCCCCCCCCCCATTATGATTCACAAAATTCGCACAAGATGTCGCCAGCTTCTTTTCTCTTTCTAAAGCTAAGCACATGTGCACACAGCAAGCACAAAAGGAAAGGCCAATTTCTCAAAAAGATTCAAGCAACCTGTGAAATAATTCTACTTTTAAAATTTCCAGCCACAACAAAGCAGCAATTATGGGACAAAATGCTGTTGGTTTTTGTGTAAGATTTCCATAACTTGGTATGGTTATTTGTGACCAGCTGACAAGGTGCTGGGCACATCTTGATCACTTGCCTGGTCTTGTGACCTGTTGTGCAACTGAGGTGTGTCCCAGCATCTCACAATGCCATTGTTGGGGAGATATCTATTAGTGGAATTGGAAATTTTGCCAAGAATCTGTATATTATTATGCTATTCTTAAAAAATGCCTTTTTTCTGAAGTTTGAACTATTTTCTCACAGCAAGTGGGGTAGAACTACATATAGCTATTCTCAGAGTAGACCCACCAGGATCAGAGAGGCAATACACCAATAAGTCTCATAATTTCAATGGGTCTTCTTGAAGCATGATTCATTCTGAATCTAATCCACTACTAGAAGTATATTCACATTTGTCTTGAAAGCATTGTAAGGGATGACCCTGATTTATGCTTTTTCCTGTTCTCCAAACAGTTTGTAGTAATCTGTTTAGGAACTAGAATGGTTGGAAATTCCATCATTTATCTGTGTGCTCTTTACAGTATGTGCACAGTATTGCAAACTTGAAGCATGTCAAAATCAATGAACAACAAGCAAATGCTTCAATTGATCTGGAGATGGAACTGAAAAATCCACAAAGCAGAATTTATCTGTACAAGGTAAGGAAAGATAAGTAGTTGATGGAGAGAAGTTCGTGGAGTTTTCCGCTTGGCATGCCAAAATGACTTGACTGCTTATGGCTGCTAGGCTTAGGATAGCATAACTGACTGTGTAATCCAAAAATACACCTCCTCCCTTCGTGATAATGTACATTAGAAAGGAGACATATTAGACTAAAAGTGAGGAGCTTCACAACATCCATTTGCGGAATAATCACACAACATTTAACAAGTTGTCCAAGCTCCCAAGATATGTAATACAACATTGCATGTTAGTGTTAATTAAAAGTTCCCAATTAGCTTATTTTCTTTTAGTTAAAAATGCTCAAAGGGCTAACCAATGATCCCAATTTTTTAAAAAAATTAATAGCATTTTATTTATCTGTAGACAGCTTGCAAGAGATAGGTAGTTACCTGGCTATCTCCATAGTAGACATTCACAAAACAAACAAACAAACAAACAAACAAAAAACCATCTTTGACCTTACTTTGTTTTCATTTGGCTACATTCAGACATCTTGCCTTACTTGTAAATGCCCTGATCTCACATGTGGCTGCTTTGCTCTTTCCTTTCTGCAAGTGAATGAAGAGGAACTACAGTTTCTTGTTAGTTCTAAACCAGCTAACATTGTCTGAACAAACCAGAATATTAAGCCAGCTTTAAACTTTGGTTTCCTTGTCTGGACATAAGAGACTACAATTAACTGAGAAGCTTTTGGCCCACTTGTGGAGGAATGAAGAAGACATGAGTAGGGACACATCTGTCTATTAAACATAACCCTCAGGGTATCTTTATAGTGTAATTAATATACAGAATTTAGGAATGTTCAGTTGTTTTTCTTTATCATGGTCCACTATTCTTCCTGTGAATTCTGCTTTCCTTTGCAACCTTCAGGATGGTGAGATGATCAATTTTGGACTGAATGATGACAACATAAAGCATTGCTTACGGCAGGTGGGCAAAAAGTACAATTTTGTCATCAATGATCTGCAACCAGAAGATGCTGGAGTCTATCAGATCAAAGTAGAAGATGTAGATATCTTCTCTACTGAGCTGGAAGCAGAAAGTAAGGTTTCATGACTGTGGGGCTGTGCACAGAACCCTATAGGAGAATGCATATGTTTTGTAACAAATGAAAAATGGAAACAAATGGTTCCCATACATTTCATTTGTTATGAGTAAAGAAGTGAATGCTAGAATCATGAAAGAATTCTGAATTTCACATCTTCATTTGTTGCTCATTATTTACCTACTTTTAGTCATTTATTTTCACTTAGCAGTCAAAGTGAGGTTGTTGGGAATGGGATGACAAATCAATAAAAGCAGCCGCCTTCCTCCATAGAATGTCCATGTGAACATTTTTTCATCAGTAGGCCCTCCCATGTCTTCTCATAGGGATCCTCAGAAGGAGTGGTAGACAGTGCTAGAGTGGTGAGAGGAATGTGTTTCTTTTTTAAAGTTAAATGAACCTGAGGGGTGGGGGTGGGGTCCAGGAGGCGGCTTTTGCTTTCTAACAAATCCTCCTTCTGCCATTCTCTCACCAACTGTCTGTACTTACTGGAGTACCTCTGGATTGGGTGACATCATAATTTTATCATCTTCTATTAGCATTCCAGGAAGTGCAGTAGCAATGGAAGGCTGCAGAGTAATGTGATTTTTAAAAAGTTTATAATGAGAATACCCACACCCTTTGACCACCTCATAACGTTAAGGATTAAGGTAAATGCACAATATTCCAGCCACGACTGGAAATATAAATGAGGACCTGGCTGGGAATAGACAACTCACAAATATTTATTAGTAACTCTCTTTGTTTTCATATAACTTTCTCTCTTTCCGGTGAATGGCTAAATAATGAAATTAGCTGATTTGTGGAAATCAGTGCTACTCCACATAGCACGTCCCTAACTTTCCAATTCATTTGCTCTTAGTTGGTCATTTCTAGCCTTAGTCCAATCTCTGTAAATTTCTCTCCATAGTGATTTATTCTTTTTTTCCTATTTAGCAAGTTTGATATCTTGCAGGGGTTATAAAATGCCTGAAATGTCATGCAGTCTAGACAGAAATACATAGTTAGAGGGAGTAGAATGTCATGCAGTCTAGACAGAAATACATAGAGGGAGTGCAATTGGATATTTCAGTGAAGGCAGTGAAATAAATGGGAATAATGAAAATGAATGAAACTATAATAAAAATGAGTGTGCTTTTAACAAAAGGATAACTAAATGAATGAGGACTTAATAACAAAACAAATGGAATAACAGTGAACAAATGTTTTATACACTCCTTGTCTCAGCCGTAAATGATTTTCAAACTTACAGCCCAATCCTATACATATTTAGTTCTATTGTATTGCTTACTTTAACTTGAGATGCATAGGATTGCAGCCGCACTGGGGTTAAAAATGAATTATAGCAACTGTTCAAATGAAGGCCTTGTGGATTTTTTTTACAGATAGTCTTTGCCTGGTACCGCTGTTTTACATGTACCTTTTATATGCCTCTAATACAAACAATACTTGCATGGAAAAAATGCATTTCGTGCATGTAGTAAGCACCCACATCTGGGAGTGTCATTTACCATGTACAAGCCTCGTAATGTGTGAAATACCCCCCACTCTTATACAGTAACTGAGGTCTAATGGCATAGTGTCTTTTCCACCATGAATATTAGCTGATCATTTTCAGACATCTATTTACAAAAACTATGAAATCACATTGCTACCCAGTGCTGCAAATTTCTTAAACGGTCCTTAACTAACATTTGAGTATTGCACAAGTTCTAATGTGATTTCAAAGGGTTAAAATAATATTATTCCTGATGGCATAAATCAGGACAGCTTCATTCCTAGGTATTCACCAGCACTTTGTACCAGACTGGTGGAGGGTTTTGGAACCAAAATACATTTATATAGGTAATTCTGTCAGGCACATTTACCATTGAACGGTAATCTGTTGCATATATATTTACCCTCCGTTTGGTGTTGCAGACATCCCAATATATTTTCGCTTTCCACTTGGTGATGTGAGATGCCATGAGCAAGGAAATGCTGTCTTACAGTGCACCCTCTATGATCCCTGCTTCAATGCTGTGTGGCTGCACAAAAACAATCGTCTAGAGCCAAATGAGAAGTATGAGATCTCGGTCTCAAATGATGGCCTAATGCACCGCCTAGTCATCAAAAATGCCCAGCCTCCTGACAAAGGGACTTACACCATTGACATTGGAAGGCGTACCTCAAGTGCCTGGCTTGAGGTTGAATGTGAGTGGTAATCTAATCTTGATTTCTCACAATATAATCCAGTGCAAAATGATAGACCTTTTTTCTAATAAGCCCTAATAGCATTACATCCATGGACTCACTGCTGAAGTGTCTAACAGTAGAGTGTGAGCTGATTTTATTAGAAGATTTTGGAAGATTTCTTAGGGTTTTTTTTCACTGTTGCTCATTTCTGTTATTTTTAATGATAATACATTAATTTTGCTTTTGAACTGCTGTTTAGCATGTTTAACACGTATTATTAATATATTTACCTGAAGGAAAAACTGTTCAACTTATTACATTTTAACAGTATTTTTAAAAGCATTTAATCTAGCACAAAGTTTTCAATCATAATGGACACGTGTGTTCTTTGTCATTAGCAAAGGCTTAGTTATTGAGATTCTGTTTTAGTACTGAGAGGTAACAGCCACTGGCAGTCTTACTCTGCCTAAATATGTGTCAGTCAGTGGTTCAGTATGTCTTTGCTTTGGATTTTCTCCTATATTATTCATTCATTCATTCATTCATTCATTCATTCATGTATTTTTATTTATTTATTTAT